ATGTTCCAGCAGGCAGGAGGGGATGCTTTAATTAGTGTCCCCACACTGAAAAATGGCAGCAGGGTGCTTTGAACTAAAGCTCATCAAATAAGGTTTAGTTTAAAGCACCCCGCTGCCATTTTTCAGTGTGGGGATGCTGATACACATGAATCTGGAGGCTGCTGGAGCATGTTAATTTCTGTGCTCCGATGCGCTGGATTTACAGCATGTTGGAACAGCTTCGCTGCACGTCTATAGAAGCCCATAGTTTCTTGATGGAAAAGGTGTAACAAATTGTAAAATAGATTTGTCAAATTTATTACAAGGTAACCAACCCACAATAAAAAGGGAATAAAGAAAGCCAGGGAACTGAGACCCAGAGCAGACAGTTGCTTTCAACTAAAAGTTGGATGACACATTAAGGGAATTCGCCAACCTCAACAAGCTCCAAAAGAGAGGCTTGAAACTAGTATGGTTACTACTGTTTGAAAAAACGCACTTCCAGTTGCCACCCAAGTTTTTAAATAAATAAGAGAATGAGGGTAGAATAAATGATTCCCCTTTAAACCTCCAGTGTTATAAGCCAGGCTGGACAGGGAGTTCTCAAACAACATGCAGCTAGCTGTATCCTGAATGCATCACAATTCTCTAAAGTTGAACCTGCACCAAATGCCATGACCAAAAACACAGTGGAAGCAGATAGTAGAAACATATGAGCAGAGGTGGGTGGGGAGGGGACAGAAGTGACTTCTACATGAATAAAACCATGTGACAGACCAAGAAATGTGGCTGCTCAGTCAAAAAATATCAGTTAAAGAAGGCCTGAAACTAAAATTACATTGAGAAAAACTTATTAGAAACTCAGGATGGTGATGACATTATAAACATAGGGATTTATGGGGATTTAACATCTGAAATGTTATTAGGCAATTATATGGTGAAGGTAGAAACACAAACCTAAAAATATCTTTCCTTAGGTACAGGCTGATAATAGCATACATTTTACCTATACACATACCTGCCCACCATGGAAAAATCAGTGCCTCCTTAACTAAAGCTCTAGGGGAAGACATGAGTTAATCCTCATGAAGTGCTATGGTGGTAAGGTCCAGCAGGGAGTCACAAGAGGACAAATGACCCAATGGGTATTGAGTACTATTACTAGTCATATAGATGCTGGAGATGCTATTGAAAATAAGACAAGATTTTTTTGGCACACTACACTTGGGTTTTGCCCACAATTGAAAACAGATTTTTCCCCCTAGCTAGACATATTTAAGCATTTTTCTGAAAGAGACAGCGGAAATGGTCCTGGCCGCAGGCCATGACCTGGTAAGAGGCCTCCAGGTTCTTGACCACCTGGGCAATAGTGATCATCGCGTGCTGGAATTCACCATCCAGCGTAGAGTGTCAAGGGCCCGCAGCAAGGTGGTAGCCCTAGACTTCAGGAGGGCCAACTTCAGTGAGATGAGGAGATTAGTGGGAGAGGAACTGGGGTCCTTAAGGGCAGAGGAACTCAGCGTCCAAGAGGAGTGGTCGTTCCTTAAGGAAACGATACTCGGGGCCCAAGGGGTGTCCATCCCGACAAGAAGCAAGGGGGGCAGGAGTGTCCAAAAGCCCCCCTGGCTCACCAAGGGTGTCCGGGAATGCCTGCTTGCCAAAAAGGCGGCGTACGCCTGGTGGAAGGGGGGTGTAATCTCCAAAGAGGAGTATACCTCCTCTGCTCGGGCCTGCAGGCGGGCTGTTAGGAAGGCCAAGGCGGATATAGAGCTCGGATTAGCGTCCAGGATTAAGGATAACAAAAAGTCCTTTTTCAAATATATTGGGAGGATGAAGAAGGTGCCGGGTAATGTGGGGCCCCTGCAGGATATGCGGGGCAATCTGGTGGTTGCGTCAGAGGATAAAGCGGACCTCTTTAACCAATTCTTCACCTCCGTTTTCTTGTGCAGGGACCGGGACTTCCCTGCTGTGATAGAAGCCGGACGCGAGGGGATCGCCTTCAGACCTCAGGTTGGGGAGGACCGGGTTAGAGAGCTTCTGGAGGGGCTGGACGCGTTCAAGTCAGCGGGTCCGGATGCTCTCCACCCCAGGGTGCTGAGGGAGCTGGCTGGGGTTATTGCAGGGCCCCTGGCACGGCTCTACGAGCGATCGTGGTGCTTGGGCCAGGTGCCAGACGATTGGAAGGTAGCTAATGTGGTCCCCATCTTCAAAAAAGGGAAAAGGGAGGACCCGGGCAATTATAGGCCCGTCAGTCTTACCTCAATCCTGGGGAAGCTCTTTGAGAAGATCATCAAGGAGCACATTTGTGATGGGCCGGCATCCGAGATGATGCTCAGGGGCAATCAGCATGGATTTATTAGGGGGAGATCATGTCAGACCAACCTGATTGCCTTTTATGATCAGGTCACAAAGGCCATGGATGCAGGTGTCGCGGTGGATGTAGTCTTTCTGGACTTCAGCAAGGCCTTTGACACCGTCTCTCACCCCATCCTAATTAATAAACTAGGCGACTGTGGCATAGATGCCTACACGGTCAGATGGATTGCAGATTGGCTGAAGGGTCGCACTCAGAGGGTGGTGGTGGATGGATCATATTCGACTTGGGGGGAGGTGGGTAGTGGAGTCCCTCAGGGCTCGGTCCTGGGCCCTGCGCTGTTCAATGTCTTCATCAGCGATCTTGATGTTGGGGTGGAGAGCAACCTGTTTAAATTCGCTGATGACACCAAAATTTGGGGGGAGGTGAGCACGCTAGCAGGGAGAGAGAGATTGCAGAAGGATCTGGATAGGTTACAGGGGTGGGCAGACAGGAACAGGATGCGTTTCAATACGGACAAGTGCAGGGTGCTGCACTTGGGTAGTAGGAACCAGCAGCACACTTATAAGATGGGGAGCTCCCTACTTGAGAGCACGGAGGCGGAAAGGGATCTTGGTGTCATTATTGACTCCAAGATGAACATGGGCCGACAATGCGAGGTCATGGTTGGCAGGGCTAACCGGACCTTGTCGTGCATCCACAGGTGCATCTCGAGTAGAGCCAGGGAGGTGATCCTCCCCCTCTATGCGACGCTGGTCAGGCCGCAGCTGGAGTATTGTGTCCAGTTCTGTGCGCCCCATTTCAGGAGGGATGTGGACAACATGGAGAGGGTCCAGAGGAGGGCCACCCGCATGATCCGGGGACAACAGGGCAGACCCTACAGTGAGAGACTGCGGGACTTGAACCTATTCAGCCTCCACAAGAGAAGGCTGAGGGGGGACCTGGTGACCGTCTATAAACTCACTAGGGGGAACCAGAAGGGTTTGGGGGAGACGCTGTTTCCCCTAGCCCCTGCTGGCATAACAAGGAATAATGGGCACAAGTTGATGGAGAGGAGGTACAGATTGGACATCCGAAAAAACTACTTCACAGTCAGGGCGGCTAGGAGCTGGAACTTTTGTTGTTCTCCCGCCCTGGCGGGGGGGCGGGCTAGAAGATCTATTAGGTCCCTTCCGACCCTAAAACTATGAAACTATGAAATGGAAATTCAGTTCAGCAAAAAATAAAAAACAAAAAACCAAACCCAAAACAAAAAAACAACCCAAAACTATGAAGTATCTGAAATAAACATGCAGATTAACAACTCCTTGGCACTGAAAAGTAGATTTTCCACCATTGAGCCTACAGAGGCAATACAGACATTCAGAGCTCTTGGTCTGAAATGATTAACATATGCCAAATATGCTTGAAGACTGTCAAGGTTTCCATATATATTAGTAACAAAGGAGATGAAAATATGAGACATTCTTACACTCTAAAATCCTACTATAAGTATCTCAGCATGGGGACCACAATCATCAATTTATACTGGAGGAGATCTATTTGGCACCTTCTAGACTACAGCAGTATTATTTTCTGGGTCTGGTCTACACATTATACATATATTTTTATATATTGCCTTTACATTTCAGTAAGTGAAATTTCATAGATTTTATAGACATTAGGGCTGGAAGGGACCTTGGAAGATCATTGAGTTCAGCCCCCTGTCCAAGGGGCAGGAAGTCAGCTGGGGTCATAGCAAGATAAGCATCCAAATTTCTCTTGAAGGTGTTCAATGTAGGTGCTTGAACCACCTCGGATAGGAGGCTATTCCAGACCTTGGGGCTCGGACAGTAAAGAAATTCCTCCTTATATCCAGCCTGAAACGGTCTTGCAGTACTTTGTAACTGTTTGACCTCGTCATCCCTTGGGGCGCACTGGTGAACAAACTTTTCCCTAGATACTGGTGGTCACCCCTGATAAACTTATAGGTGGCCATCAGATCACCCCTGAGCCTGCGCTTTTCCAGGCCAAAGAGCCCCATAGCTCTCAGCCTGTCATCGTAAGGTCTGTTTTCCTGACCTCTGATCATGCGCGTGGCTCTTCTCTGTAGGGGTAGCCCCCCTCTGGACCCTCTCGAGGTTGTCTTGAAGTGCAGTGCCCAAAACTGAATGAAGTACTCCAGCTGCAGCCTGACCAAGGCCGCATAGAGGGGAAGCATCACTTCCCTGGACCTGTTTGTAGTGCACCTGCTATGCATGATAAAGTGCAGTTAGCTTTACTGATCACTTCATCACATTGACGACTCATGTTCATCTTGGTGTCAACAGTGACTCCAAGATCCCTTTCTGCTGCCGTGCTACTGAAAAGGTCCTTCCCCAGCCTGTAAGTGTGCTGGTGATTCCTTCTCCCTAGATGCAGCACCTTGCATTTGTCCTTATTGAACTGAATCCTATTCTGCTCCACCCACTTTTCCAACCTGTCCAGATCCGCCTGGATTCGTTCCCTACCCTCTGGTGTATTAACTTTACCCCATAATTTGGTATCATCTGCAAATTTGGACAGAGTGCTTTCCACGCCCTCATCCAAGTCACTGATGAAGACAATGAACAGCACTGGTCCAAGGACCAAGCCCCGTGGGACTCCACTGCCCACATCTTTCCAGGTCGATACCGACCTGTCCACCACCACTCTCTGAGTGTGACCCCTAAGCTAATTTGCCACCCACCTGACTGTAATCATCTCCGTCACAGTAACTCAAATTATCTATGAGAATATGAGATACTGTATCAAAGGCTTTCTTAACACAGTTTGCTAGTTTTGCCAAGTGATCATGGGATACCATATGGAAGGCTTTTTTGAAGTCAAGATATATGATTTACCTCAATTCCTGCGTCTAAGCATTTTGTGACCAATTGCAAATTGGGTGCCAGTTTTTGGCATTTCATCAACATCCAACTGACATGACTCTGTGCAGGCAGTTTTGTATGGAGAGAAATTAATTCAGTGTCATTAGGACTGTGTATGGTGGGATTCCAAAACTCCATGAATCAGAAAAAACACTTTTTCCAACCCAAAATCTCCCTGGTCTCCTAGACCTGTTAATCACTCCTAAGTCTAATATGCAGCATATGCAGACTGTCCTAACCTAAAGATTAATGTGCAATGAGCCCTATCCAAAGCAATGGAAAGACTCACTTTGAAGGGCTGTAGACCAGGGTCAACATTTCACCTGGAAGAAATCAAAGATCATATTGCCTCCTCCTTGCACCAACTTTCTCCCCTTGAACCAGATGCAAGAAAGCTCTCCACAGCACGAAGCTGCTAGCCAGTTGCTGATTCCAACAGTTTGAGTGCGATGGGGTATTCAAAGCTAATGCCATGAAACAAACTCTCAGTTACTAGTTTCTGCCTCTTGTTGGCTTCTGGCACAGAACGGAGGCAGCAGAGATTGCACGCTGCAGGGAAACGAGCAACATCTGACAGTCCAGCTCGGAGAACTTGCTCAGGAAATGTCTGCGAAGAACAGAGCGGGGCAAGCAGGGCTTTCTTATCTTGCAGCAGATATTTCCTGAAAGGGGCCTTCCAGCTGAGTGGCAGCCCTTCTCACTTTAATTTTCCAGACAGCAAGCAACATTTAAAAAAAAAAAAGCTGGCTGACAAGAGCATTCTGAGGTCATGCTCCTTCACATCTGACTCAAGATGCATTTTGGGAAGTCCATAAAGGAAGCAAACACCCTTAGGGGAGGGCAGAGGCATCAAGAACTTTGAATACAGACCAAGAAAAGAGAGGACTCAGATCAAATGCAGCAGGTGACCATGGAAAACAGATGAGGATGCTGAGGGCTAAGCTATAGCCCCACCTTTCTCCATAGCGAGTCTGATCACATTTTCACAACTGGGCCAGAATACTGCTCCATATCTATTTCTGGAGCCATAAAATCCCACATCCCGAATTGCAGATAAATTGCTGAGATGCCCCAGCTTCCTCCCTTGCATGATACAACCAGAGGAAAAAAACTGTTTGTTAGGGGAAAAATAAAAAGATCTAAGCTGGGGGAAATCTGGCTGCTACTGCGAAACATTCCCTTTCCCTCTGACATTTCACACTGCAGCCTGTTTGAGCAGAGTCATATGTAGCAAGTTGCTGCAGTTGCCATGGCAAGTGATTGTTTTTCTTACAAAGCATAAGAGGTTCAGTGTTTGAGGTCCGACTTGGGGCATTTTGCTTGTTACTCACCTTCTGGTTTCTGCCAAATGTTGCTGTTACTGTCTGTTTATTTTTTTATAATAAGTACAAACAGATTGTGCTGGTTCGGAGTAGCTGCAATCTCTCTGCCCTTGTCTGGAACTTGTGAGCATTTGTACACCAAGGGAAAGGGTCTTTTTAATTATTACAGGAGATCAGAAGTTGCTGCTCAACAGTTGCTTGGCCCAAACATGCTAGTGTCCTGCAGTACGTTCTCTGCCTCATCTTCCAGTTTGTTCCCCAGAAATACCTTAGGCAATCAGATGATTTACCTACGGGTGCTTTCACAGTTAAGAAATCTGCTCACCTTGCTTTCCAACTTCCGCTTGCTCCTTAAACACTTTCGTACAGTTTAGCTTTACGTACAGGAGTAGCTGAGCTGGCATAAATGGAAGTCAGTTGGAGTAAAGTACTTGCAGAAGCATTTCCACCATTAGGAATCACCTCCCATTTCCTCAGTTCTCCCTTTCTTCAGCTCTCAGACCAAACCAAGCATCTGCAAACTTGCTTAAGAGTTGCTATTTGCTAGACCTGGCATCCCTGATGCCCAGTCCTCTCTCTTCTGAGTGCACTGGTTTCAGCATCAATCTGCAAAGACCCTTTCTTGTTATTAACAACCTGGTATCACCAGGGGACTTTGCTCTTAGAGTAGGATGTGATCCTGCTCAGCACTGTGTATGCACGCTACAAAAAGGCAGCCTGCCCTGAGAAACTTCCTCTAAATGTTTCAGAAACTCTTTATTCAGCAGTTTGGGGCTCCTTTCCATGCTGTGTCCTGCTACCTCCTGTTAAGACAGAATTTTTTTTTGAGAGAACTTCTGCTCATTGTTCTAAGTACCTTCCACATCTCTGCTTACCTACTATGGCCTTGCCTGCCCTTTATTTTTCCTGTTTAAAGTTACACAGGATGGATTTCAATTGCAGCTTCTCTTGCTGTTTCTTAAACATTTCCGACTATGCTACAGGGCATTTTCCACATGCAGGAATTCTTCAGGGCTTTGCACCTTCCCCTAAGCTGGTCTACAGTCAAAAACATTTGTGTGCTGCTTGCTTATCAGACCTACATTAAAGATATTGTGATTACCGGAGCCTCGCAGTTCCCCTGACCTAACCTTACTTGCTATAGTTGGCTCATTTCCCAAGAGGTCTAGAAGAGACCTGTTAACCTGTGAATGATACTGCAGCCCTCAAGGGACATGCTCCTTTTACTAAACAGCAAAGTGCATTATCAGAGTCCCAAGCTCCTCTCTCTGTCCACGATCACATTTGTATCACAAACACTTTAAGCCAAATTCTCCATCCATATCAAAATAGCAATCAAGTGTAAGCTGCACATTGGCAGCAACTTATACAGCAAGCAAATGAAATTGGAAAAGCAGAGCAAGTATCACTGACTTAGCTTTGGATGTGCAACCACACACTTTTTTTTGTGCCTATTTTAATGAAAGTTGACATTATCCTCCTGCTGTTGGTTACTTTTCCTATTCCAATCACAGCGCATGGGTTCCATGTGTTCTGAACCCCCATTGACGGTCAGAGAGATGGGCCCCTGGCGCATGCTCATTTTTGTGCTTCCTGCCATGATATACTTGTATGGTAGGATATGTAATTTTGGGATCAGATCCCAATTGAACCATTACTATGTGCCAGTGATCCCAGGCTCCCTCTGTATTGGCAAGTTGGAAGCCACGTGCCTGCAGCCTGGCATGAACCAGAGTGGTCTTGGGGTCAGGACTGACAATCAGCTGAGTGTCAGTCCCAGCCCCGGGGAACCACACTGGAGCCAGTTTGAGACTTGGGGAACACAGGGGAAGTTGTCAACAAAGCCCTGCCATACAGCCAGCATCAGGCAGCATGATGGGGACTCTGACACATGTTCAATTTAAGGTGTGATTGGAACCAGACACAAAAATATTACACATATTTTGTGGAATAATTTTGTAGCTGGTTTCCCATTTTGTCGTGCCATCAATTGCATGAACATGTGGCTAGGTTACTATTTAAGGTTCAATTAATAAAGTTAATTGCACCTTAAGTGTAATGTCTGCCTGGGACTTTTAGGCTACTTTTGTTGCTCATGAAAAGTTTCCACCCAACTGTGGTGCATTATGTACTTCCTCTTGTTTGTCCCTGCAGAACTGGACTGGGATCTCCAATACAAGTTGTCTGCATTTGAAGTAGTCTAAAGCAGCAATACAGTAGGTGCTTCTATTAATCTCCTTTTTCTGCTATTGTTATAGTCTTTACCCTACTTTTCTAAGAGGGGAAGATCTGTCTCCTCCCCTGTGTCTCTTCTTCTTCCTGAGCTCCGCTGTGCCCCAAAATTCGGAGTGCCTGTACTGAATACTGGAACACTAATAACACATATGAACAAAGAGAAATCCATGCATATCATCAAGTGATCTAAAAGATGGAATCAAATCACAAAGCAGGTATTCATATCATTAAAGTTTTTCATTCCTTCAGAAATCTTTTATTTCTAGTTCCTCTTTTCACGCCTTTGTTTCCAATGCACAAGGACATAATTCCCTTCATTTGTTGACTAGCAGGAGTAACATCAACTATTGTACTATTTTGATGGTGATCCTGTTGGGGTCTCCCCATCCATACCAATTATATCACTCATACATACACCCCAACTTGATCAGCTTATTTAATATTAGTTTACAAAGCTTAGGCTGATCCATTTGATTTACCTGAATACCGAATTCATCTCATCATGCATTACACATCATTAAAACAGATCATGTATTTAAAGGGGAAAAAAAGAGACAGACATTTGAGCCATCCACATCGTCCAGATGAGGCAATGTGATGGCAGAGGTTCTCTATATTACAGATGTTCAGTCATGCTCTATAGGAAGATATGGGGGCAGGCAAACCAGATCAGAAGTGATCCCATGAACATCTGGACCAAAGGGATGCACTACTATTCTATAGGACACTGCCAGTATTTACAGTACCTGCCTTAGTTTTTTGATCGAGTTCATTATGCAAGGCGGTGACAACAGCTGCAGAAGAAGGAATAAGTTTTCATTCTACAATAATCACTGAACAACATTTCTAACACAATGAAGGCAAAAGCTCCTTAGGGCAGGAGGCTGATTCTAGACAGTGTATATTTACTTACCAACCTCAATTAGCTTTTTCTACTTGCCAGACAGGATTTTGCATTACAAATGCCCTCTGGTGCCCCTCATACAACACATTACTTTGATCATCTCCTCTAATTCTAGGTGTCTTCAAAGGAGATGAGTTACTTAGGGCCTAGATCCAAACCCCACTGAAATCAAGACTCCCATTAATTTCAGTGGGCTCTGGGGTCAAGCCCTGAGTCTATCTCATTCAGTCTAAGTGGTGGTGCAGATGTGACCCACCAAGAAACAAAATCCTACAGCATTCATTATGCATGTCCATTATTATGACAGTTCATGACAATGTTAAGTTTCTCCTGTTAAGCGCATTCATATGGAGCCTCTGATTCTCTCGTCTAAGAATCTAGATGCATATTGTAGACTCTTACTCCAGCTTTTATTCTAGTGAGTCAGCAACCATTTAAGACCAGATTTTGAGCAGGGGTGGTTTAAAAAACAAAATCACACATACACACAAGCTCATAAACAGAAGCAACGTTTCTCTCCATTCCAAACACAAGGAAAAGAGAGATGTGTCAGTTTGCAGAACTCCTTTTAGCCAGACGTTAGTCACAGCACCAAACTCCTCCTGCAAATGTAGCCTTTCCACTGGCTGAAGGGGTAAGTGAGCACTAAAAAAAGAAAGGGTGAAATCCTGGCACCAGTAAAGTTAATGGCTAAACTCGCACTGGCTTCACCAAAGGGCAAGTTTTCATCTTGGATTCTACTGGCCCTACTGTCTACAGATGTTAATGTTCACACTTCTCTTGACAGCTGGCATTGTGGATTTTAAGGGTTACAGTATACCTGTAACTCAGGATAAATCCCCCCCCCGCCCCCCCCATCAGCCAGTTTACTATTGTAACTTGCTAGGTGCCTTTATAAATTTTTATTAACTGTTGACAGCTTTCAATTAAGGTCTCAAGGCAATAGTTATAACAGCAAAAGGCATTTGAATATAATGCATCCACTGTGAGCCCCCATTTTAGTCCTTGCTTGGATGCCCACTGCTGCATTAGGATGAGGACACTGCAGAATCTGATTTATAGAGTGACTGAAATGAGCTCTGTTTGGGAATAGAAACAATATCATGTCTTTTCTGGCTCATCACGATCCTGTACAGTTGATGCACACAAAGTGCTCTTTTGGCTTCACCAGGCTACTCCTGTGAATAGAGACTGCAGGATCAGGATGCCTGTTTCTTGGACCTGTCAGAGAAGTAACATATCACTGTTGTTAGCAAAAAAACTGTTACAGACGAGAAAGCCGCTCATTGGTTGGCAGGTTTTTTTGATGTTTCATACACCAGAGCAGTCATTAATGTCAGCCTGAATGTCATCCAGAGACATGTTGGATGGTTATAACATTTATCCACTTCTTCTGGCTAAGTGAATATTACATATTTCTCATGGGTGATGTGATTTGAATGACCCATAGACTGCTTTGCCTCTAGCCTCCAAATCCAAAAAATGTACACCAGTGGTTTAATATTGAGCATTCATCTTTCTAATGTTCTGGTTTCCATCAAGATGCTGATTTGTCCTGGTGTGTTGAACCCTATTTGGTTTAATCAGTCAGGAACTAATAAGAATGAAAGACTAGTTTGCAGAAAAGCACAGACTGTATTTACAAAATGGACTAAAGGAATTGGCGTGTCAGGTGCAAAAGCCACTTACATAATTAAGAATTGCAACTTCCCTGTAACCTTAAGCCCTTGTTCGCTGCTATCATTAAACATATACCAGAGTCTCTCAAGCTACTGCAATGTTCCAATCATCCATTCATTTTCCCTTCCTGCCTTCCTCAATGTCAAGGTCTCTGCTGGTACTGCAACTGTAACCCCTAAAGTACCAAAAGAGTCATCTCTGGCAACAGGCAGTACTAGGTATCTCACAAGTATCTCTCTTCCCAAGAGAACTGCAGCCCCATTTTATAGACTTACAGTCTGTATAAAGATTGGGTACTTTTCCAAAGCTGGACCAACGCTGTGCTCTAAGCTTTTGGGGTCAGTGCTATGCTTTCCACAATGGTAAGTGGCGTGACCAAAAACAGACAAAATGTATTCTCAACACTTAAAGTCAGAGAAAAATGAAGGGCAAGATTTTTATCCCTTCCCTTCTTTTATCTCTATCCCTTATCCTTTCCCTTCTTTCTTGTAGGATGCTTCATGGAAACTTGGTCTTTACTGAGGAAGAAGTGGAGAAGTGAAGTCTTGAAACTACAGCAGTAATGATACTTGTTTTGTATCCAGCACCCAGACAGTAATACAATGACCCAAATGTTGCCCTGAGTTACACTCCACACCAATAATATGTGAATCTAGGCAGAATTTGACTCTGATTAGATAGATGAATGCACAGGTCAAAGGGGATTGTGTGACCCTAACATAGCTACCTCATGCCACAAATTCTACCCTATAAGGAGGAGACCATTTCTTTATCTGGTGTCTGAGCAGTCCGATTTTTCCTCTCCAATTTTTCTAATGCACTGAATAGGATTTATTGATTATGCTAGGGCTCCTGGATTAAGCTGGGTTTTAATAGTCTTGCGATATGAAATCTCATCACCTACTGTACACAAAGGAGAGGGAGCCTTTGACCTTGGTCTAACAGACCGATGCAATGGCTCTATAGATCCTTAACCAGAACCTCTCATACCAGCACTTTGTCCATTCGCTTTCACGGATGTTGGATTCAGATCAACAAGACTGTGCTATGGACTGCAAACACTCTGCACCTACTGACAATAGTTATATTTTTGTGACAACTGGGATCTGTGACTGCAACAGGTGTAGGCATACTTGAGCTGGCTTTAAATCTGCCCAGGCTTTGAGAGATGCTCGGTCCTCATCCAGTTGGCCAATTCATGCCCATATTGTTCACTATGCTGTTCCCAGGCTAGTTAGACTGAAGCAAGCTCAGTCCTGCCTTCCAGCTGGGCTGAGGATGCTGCCTAGAGGCAGGCACTGCAGTAGCAGAGAAGATATGCCTCCATTTTTCTGGAAAAGGCTCAAGTCTGAAAGAGAAATTCAGTGCCCAATGAAGGGTTAAGAGAGGGCCTCACACCTCCAGCTTGGATATGGCAGAGGTCTGTGCTGAGATAAAGGCTCTTGAGGAGCATATGAAACAGCCCATATTCAAACCCTGTCCAAAAATAGGAAATTGATGAAGAAATTAATAATCTCCATTATGGTATGAGGTTGGAGATGGTTCAAGTTTATTTGAAAGGGGATGTTTCAATTACATTTTTTCATGAGAAGGTTTCACTGTTTTATTCAATCAGCTCTGAAAAGTCTATTATTATCACCATATTCATGTCCTCACTCTAACTGTCTATTCCACACCAACAGCTTTCTATAATGACCAGAACAACAACATGACAGTGAGAGAGAGCAAAAAAAAACCCCTATCGTGCTTAAAAATAAATAAAACCAATTATTACATTAAATAAAAATACTAGCTAGATGTAGAGATTAGCCGAGGATGCACTGCATGATGCAAAAGACAGAGTTTGTGCTGGAGTGAGAAGCCAGGAAAGCTGCGTGAAAGGAGTAGTAGCAGCAGCAGCGGCAGCACACCATAATGCAGAAGAGAGATCTTCTCAAGAAAGAAAGCTATTAACAACTCCACGAAAACACAACAGCCAACCTCCGCAGAGCGTGGTCTCCGCAGAACCAGACTCTTAGGGTAAAAGAATTCAGATGAGGAATGCTGCCATGGAATAGAAAAGGAAGAAAAAAGAGTGAAAAAGCAATGTTTGTCCTAGATAAAGAACAAGGCATATAATCAAGAGCTCAAGGTCTTATGCAACAAAGGTACTCACACTGACTTTGTATAAGCTGAAGAGACAACTATATGGCATAACAGCAATGTCACACACTGTTAGCTGTAGAATCACCGACTGGCAGATGACCATAACAAAATTTTTTTCTCAGAGCTTATGCAGAGTTGTTTTATTTCCTGCTTGTTTTGGCCTCATAACCCTCCACTAAAAATCCAGTGGGAAAAGATCTTAAGCAACCCTTGTTTTTATGAGCTCCACCCCATATCTTAGCCAGTGAGGATGCTGATTAGCTTCTACTCCAGTTTAGTTATTGAGAGAAAACAGAGTTTGCTGAGGACTTCTGAAGCTGCTTCAACAATAGTGTTTTGTTTTGCTTGGTTCTAACTGGAAGGAAACCCAGCAGCGTAAAGAGTCTACATGACCAGGTTTCTGCAGACGCTTCATCAAATATGGGTCCAACCTTGTGGGGCCACAAACACTCGTCTACCACCTCACAGGCAGCATTTTAATTTACATTGCGTCTACATGGGTACAGTGTGGAAAGCTACAGCAAATCAAGGTTCGCAGATACTGCTCATGACTTCAACAGCATTCAACCCTAGTTTGAATGCACCCATTCAAGAGTAAAATGGCCTTTGGTCACTGTAGCTTAATCCTATGAATGAATATACTTTAATTTATGCACATTGACCTCACACCTTCAGCTGATCTGCCTACAGCTCTCCTGACTAAGCCCCTGGAGAAAGCTCTTCCAGGTGTGGGTGACTTCATTCATTTTCCTAACTTTAACTTCAGATTAACTAAGTGAAAAACACTTGCATGCTTCCATGCGCAAGAGAGAAAGGGAAAAAATATTTGGAGGGAACATTTGTAGTTTCCATAGGGACTTTAAATAACCCTGAGGATTTGAAAGGTCAGCTTGGAGGATATTTGCAATGGCAGGGATGTAGTCACGGCTGTAGTCATGGCTAAAAGTCAGATGGCATATTGTATCCCAGCCATACACCAGTCAATGGAGGCATTATGAAGGGCATATTGTATACCAGCCATACACCAGTCAATGGAGGCATTATGTGTTGGAAATGCCAGAACACAGTTTTATACGCAAATGGCTAAATGTGCAATAAAAGTTAACGCAGCATAAAAGTCTGACACAGCGCTGCACAGTTAGCTGGCAGCTGACCTACAGGTAGGCCAGCCCTGGGCTCATTAGCCAGGGAATAACCTGATTGCTTTAGGATACTCTATGCATACAGGTGTGCATCCACAATCTAGTTCCAGCAGACTAGGCTGGGATACATAGTTTCACAGATGTTTGGGTTGGAAGGGACCTGAGCAGATCATCAAGTCTGACTCCCTGCCATGGGCAGGAAAGGATGCTGGGGTCAAACGACCCTGGCTAGGTGATTAACTAGCCTCCTTTTGAAGACTGCCGGGGTAGGGGCGAGCACCACTTCCCTTGGAAGTTGGTTCCAGATCCTGGCCGCCCTGACTGTGAAGTAGTGCCTCCTGATATCTAGTCTGAATCTACTTTCAGTCAACTTGTGGCCATTATTCCACATACATATACACTCCTCCCCATACACTCAACTTGTCTGATACTAGGGTGACTATCCTGTCCTTGTATCAGTCTTGAAAGCACTGCTCCCTTGGGCTAACATTACAGTGTCGGACAATCAGCTGGTCAGTGGCAGCAATTTGCCCAAGCGAGATAATTCAGCAGAGTGAAAGCCACCGGACAGGAACCTGAACCCAGACTGTCCTAGGCCTGAGAGACGATCCGAGATGCCTCCTGACTTCCAAGATGTTCAGAATTTAATCTGCCTGGAACTTCAAAGCAAATAGAAAAATAGTGACAAATTGGTGGAGAATTTAACGGAAATGACAGCTTCCTTGAATGTTTCTGTCCAGCTCAATCATTTAATAATAATGCTCTTGGTTCCTGTGAAGTAATTTTGAGACATGTTTGTAGCCAAGTGGCTGGCATCTAGGATGATCACACCAGCCAGTTCACTGTGTCACCCATCTGTTACTGGAAAGGCCCAATTCTTTTCTCAGGCCAATGCGTGGCATCTGATTAAGCTGGACTAGCAAAAGCCCCTCGCATTGATGTGACTACACTGGCCACACTGTGCTATTACCAGTCTGATATATTTTGCTGGTGGCAAGGGGGCTTTACTGTATTGTTACAAAGCAGAGTTTTGCAGGTATGCTTTGCACTCAGACTAGAAGCACGTTGCCAGTATAACATACTAGTACTAGACCTTAAACTATGAAATCAGAGAAGAATCAGCTCCCAAAGCTACAGACTTCATAAGCCAGACAGATCTGAATGTTCAGGCTATCAATTTTGCCTGCAAGTATCAGATGAAAAGTCTCCCTTTTGTAAGTTGTCACAGACACAACATTTAGCCAGAATAATTTGCAAATGCTGGGTTTTGCCTCAGCTTGTACAACAACATTTTGCCCATTTTTCATTCAGGGCTAGTTCTGTTGCTGGACTGTTATGCCTGCTTACGTTAGCTTTGATGTTGATGATGTTCACTATAAATGAAACAACAGGTTAGCTACATTCACAGTCAATATTTCATGGAGCATATTAAACAAGTAGGGTGCCAGGAGCAAGTTTCAAACGGTTTGAATTACTATGCCCCAAACACAAGGAACGCAGCATGATATGCAGGGTACATGTAACCATAGTATCTCTTGGCTCTCTCTCCAAATACATCCTCAAGCCAATTTTTTCATCTGCAGCCTGACACAAGGCCAGAAAAATTCACCAAGCTTGAAGGTGTGAACAAACCCCTCATTTCTGCATCTCGGCAGGCGCAGGCAAACACAAATAGCTTTCTGCAGGGAGAGTTAGCCAATCTGGGCTCACAAATGCCTGCTTCCATACAAAAGACCAGGAATAAATCACTGTTGTTCTATTTAAGTCATTCAGGGTTTGATACAAAAGGTTTTCCCCTGCCAAGGTTAAGGTAATTTCAAACCTAACATTTGTCCCTAAGTGTTCTGGGTTGTGACCAGGGTAAGCAAATCCCCCCAAATTAGGACAAATTAGCTTTAAAGGGTTCATTGAGATGATGAAGAAAGAATGGGCTGGGCTGGATAATACCGTAACGGCTACAAAGAACATATTAGAAGTGACACACAAGTTACACAGATGTCAGGGCTATGTGCAAAAATAGAGCCATGGCAGCCTTTGCACTGGTCACATTTCTCCCCAGAGGTTTTTCCCTTAGGAGCCATCCTGTAAGCTGTATTTTGTACTGGAGACAATGCCCTCAGTGTAATGACACCGATCTTTGGAGCAGTGAACTGAAACAGATACATTCAGGTGGTGAGTCTGAGAAGCCCGGCACTACTGAAGTAATGTCACTGTGTTTCTGCCAGGATTGTCATGGCCAGGCAATAAAACCCTGGGAAATCACTGCCTCTCACGAGGAATGCTCAGTTACTCTGTGTGCAAATGATCTGGAGCGTCCCCACAGCTTAACATATCCTTTCACATTCATTTGTCTTACCCGGAGCTTATCTTCTGCCTTCGTGGATTGCTTACAGTCGGGATGCCAGACAGTGGAACCTGGAAAAAGATCATTCATTACTCAGTGCAAATCAGCCAAGTTCAGGGCAAAGAGAGCTGAACGTTCAAGTCCTTAGGAAGAGCCCGTATGCCACAAATTGCCCACATCCCACTTGAAAGCGCAAGAAATATAACAAAAAGCATCCTACTGTGGCCTACACTGAGGTGTTCAAGGCGTACTGAACTTTTTAGTGAATAAGTCTGTAGCAAAGAAGTAAATTAGGATATGATGCTGGAGCTCAAAGAGCCATGGGACTGTGGGTCAGGAAGGAAGATGGGTTGGTGGTTGGGACACGGAGGTGAGAGCAGAAGTGCCCTGGCAGACTCTTCCAGTGAGATTTTGTGCCGGACCTTTCACTCCTCTATAAAGTCCCTTAACCTGCTCTCCCATTTGCAAAAGTGGGTAAGACCAATGTAGCTATCCACCAGCAATACTGAGTGGCTAAATTCACTGCCACCTGTAAAGGACCAGGATACCCCAGGGATGGCAGGAGTCATGTTCAGGACATGCCTGGTGCTATAACAGGCCCTCTACCCCTTGACTGTGCAGGCTGCAAACAAAATGACCAGTTAAAAATAAATGAAACAAAACCCCATAGCTGCACTGAGCCTGAATGGCCAGCATGACATGGGAGGCTGCAGTAAGGAAGGATCCTTCCCTCAGCTACGGAGAAACATGCTACCTGCGCAAATCCAATGTGCTGGATTTACACGTGTTGGATTTAATTTCCTGTCTGGCCAGTTGCTGCCTATGAATAAGCAAGGGAAGTCCACCTGCCTGTTCCCCCTGTAATGGGGCTAAGAGTCCTCCCCCAGTGTCAGAGAGGAGAGGTGGGCTCCTCTCTGACACTGAAGCTACCAGATCTGTCCTGTTTTTTCCAAGGCTTCCAAATCTGCAGAGAAAGGGTCAAGTTTTGCCCCTGAATAGTGACCCTTGCAAAGTGGGAATGCCCTGATAGTATTCACTATCAAGGAGCTGCTAGCAGTTATTATCCAGGCTAGAACTGCTCCATCTCTAGGGGTAAAACTCAACTACAAGGGACTTTTAAACTAGATTGTGGTCAAAGCCAAATGCATTTCAACCTCTCTAGGGCCAGTGCTGTTTTTGTTTGCCAGGCCAAAAAGCTCCCTGAGCCCACCTCTCAGCGAAACAAGAACCAAAGATGTTTTCTCCAGTGCTGGCCAGATACCTCCCCCATCCAAGAAGGCCACGTCAGAAGGGAAGGGTGAGGGAGGGAAGCTCTGAGGACTGTTCTGAAGAGCTCATCTTTGGCTCAAGGCTTAAGTGCAAACTATTGGAAGCGACTCTTACTATCAGCTTTGCATGATGTAAACAGTGCTGTCCGGACAAGGGAGGGAGTACTAAAGCACTGAATTAGATATTTGGCTTTGAGTCTGAGAAGAAGAAACTGCTCGTACAACAAGGGAAGCACTCAGAGAACGGGGGAGTGATCCAAGGTTTTCCGTGTAAACAGACACCAGCCCCAGCGGCAGTGCAGCCTGCAGGGGCTTGGGGGATTTGCACAGGTCAGACATAGGGAACAAGGCTCTTGGACGTACTGAGATGGGGCTCAGGATCTGTGTTCAGGTCCCGACAGAGCGAGCTTAAATTCACTTAATACCCCTCTGCGTGGCTAGTAAAACCAACCTTCTTATACCTGATACCTGTTTTAAAGATTTAAATTATAAGCTCTGAAGTCTCTCATGTGCACGTGCAACATCTACCACTGTCCTGGGAGGAAGGGGCCTCTCAGGGTAACAATAATCATAGGGACACCTGCCAGGAGCTCACAATTTGGGGGGTGTGCCTGGGCTTTCTGAGGGTGCATAGCAGTGGGACAGGGTCTGGCTGTAATTTTCAAGGTACAGCTGAGCTAGCAACCTTAAATTTACTAACCTGATGTGAGGTTTGAAATAATATGCTGCCCTCCTGTCCCTAAGCACCCATCAAGCAGGCTAGAGCTTAGATATAAACGTTTTGCACAGTCCCCTATTTTGAGCCAACTGCAGTTTCTAGATTTTGTCCAGCCAAAGTGCGCTCATTTATTTTAAAACACCCCAGAGCTGTATAACTCTTCTAGCTGCATCCCTCTATTCTCCTGGGAATGGAACAGTTCAGGGCAGTTAATCCCCCCATTAACGTGCTTGTTCATTCATTAGGCAAGCACCAAACAAAACGGTCAGCTGTTCAACTTTGTATTCTGTGTTAACATAACACGCAGCTCGTTCCGAACTGCACAAACTCCAGTGAAATAAATAACCCTGGAAAATACAAAAGGCAGCAGAAAAAACAGCCAGAGCAGGATTTAAATGCTAAGCCGTGCCCCACCTTGGCAACCCTCCCCCTGCTCAGCCTGTAAGATAGTATGCTACAAGGTGATCCATGGGAAGCAGATGCTTTTGGGTGCTGCTCCTTGTTGTTTCATCAGGAAGACAGAAAGCTACATCCCTTCTGCCAAAAGCCGCTCTGTGGCTGGGAAGCCCAGCTGGCTTACAGGGGCTTTAGATGTACTGCTCTTTTGACAGGAGCCTGTCCGTGGGTTACCTACCCGCTGGCTTCTCAGTCTTTGAGCAGTAAATCAAGGAACAAATACACAAATAAAACTAAACCCTTCTGTCCTGTTCTGGGCATTAGGCAGATGCCAGTCTCCCAGCACAGGAGCCTGGCCCCTCCCTGGCAGCAAGCCTGTTCTGCTCATAGCTTGCCTCCTGCTTGCAAACTCTTCCTTTCTCCAATCTCCCCCGGGGTTTTAAGCTCCCCGTGCCACACTCCCTCCATATCCAAATGCCCTGCAGTTGGGCTCTCAACAAGCCTGACTGTTCCCTCTTGAAGAGACAGACCCTCATTTGCATAAAGTAAAATATTAAAGTGGCTCTTGATAAACACGCTGGATGAAATCCTGGCTCCCATCACTTCAGTGCAGCTCTGATTTAATCCATGTTGCACGTGACAAGCACACATGCGTGACGCTTTGCTGCCCAGTAGGCATGGTAATTAGAAAAAAGAAGGACCCTACCTGCTTTAATTTGCTTTACTGATGTGCTGTTGGCCATAATTTATATTATTACCTCAGCAAAACGCCTGTGATGCTTTTACCACTCCAGTAAATAAAAAGAAAAGGGGGTTCCCATGGAGGACTTAAACTGCTGGTTCCAGGATATTTGTATGAGCTGCTGCAGTGGCTTTTTCATGTTAAAGCCTTTCAGGTACATCAACCAAAACCAAGCAAGTAAAAGTCTGGCTAAAAAGTACGAGGTGCACATTTTAGTGACAAAAATGTGCTCGTCACTACAGCTATAGGCAGTAGTGTGTAGTCTGCATTGACTTGCCTTTGAAACTACATGGCATGTTACTGTAGGCTAGGGAACAAGGCAGAGAACCAGTAAGTGAAGCAGGACAGAAATAAAATGGATGTGAGGTATGAGAGCCAGTTACCCACCTCTCCTGCCCCATCTCCATCACCAAGTCTATCCTGGGTGTACCTGGATGCAGTTCCTATTGGCTTCCTGGGATCTGCATGTGTTTATGGGAAGGGCTGCGCTGGGATGGGGGCATTCACTCCCATTCACTGCCCATCTGGTGCATTACCCCTTACTCCCAGTCTCATCACCACTGACAGTTGGTTGAAGAAATCCATTTACCATTCATTAGACACCCTTTTCATACCATGGTGTCAGAAAAGTCTAATCCTACCCTGGGGCCAAAAAAGTCTAATCCTACCCTGGCACCCCACTTTGTTCTTAAATGTACCACTGAACCCTCCTTCTGCCTTCTCTTCATTCCTGCAGAGGTGCTAATACACAGCTTGACAGCTCAATCGTAGGTATGTGGTTGGAAAAAAAATGATAATACAGGGCTGGGAGTTCTCTACAGGGTTAAATAAGGAGGAAGTAGCTGGGGAAGGAAGGACAGCCCTTACTCTGAACACAAACATCTTTAATCAGAGCACAGGGAGCACAGAGGGAGAACGAGCCCAATAATTCCTCTAACAATGTGGGTTTTTTTCAGAATTGCTCCACTGGGGATCCCTCTTTTAATGTTTATTGTCTGGTTTACTTCTCACTCCAACACTTCCTGACTCCATGCCCTGCTCATCTCTTCCCAAGGATGCTTTACTGTGTATTTAGGAAGCTCTCTTACACCCCTAGAAAGGGCCCTAGGGGGCTCTTTCTTAGCCCCCTAGAAAAGAGAAGTCTCAAGCTGGTTTCCAGTACGTCAGCTGCCCATCAACTTCAACTTCTAGTTGATATGGATGTTGGATGCCTTCCTACCTATATTCATTTAAATTAGAAAATATGGGAAAATAACTGGAACCTAACTGTTAAAGTCATTTCTCCAGAAAATTCAGATCAAGGGTCTATTTAAACCAGAGAAGAGTGGTGTCTTTTGGATGATGAGCTGATTGTGGGGGATGTCAAGAAATGTGTCTGGCAGAACTTGGAAGTGATAGAGGGAGTTAGAAGATAAAAAAGAAGATTAAAAAGAGACAACAACAGTTTAAGCACACAAAACAGGGATAAGACAGAGACATGGCCAGACAAAGGGAACTGCAGATAGAGAGGCAAAGAAGAAGAAAAAGGAAAAGATAAAGAGAAGGAATTTACAGAAATTTGTGTGTATGTAGGGAATGAGATCCATGTATGGTTTGAACCAAGCCCATTGGAGCCACTGCCAGATGACTGTGGATCAGACCCCCAAAATCAAAGGAGGGACTAGGATCAAAATAATTAAAGAGAAAGTAACCAGCACAGCCATTCAAAACCAACTCCAGTGCACTCTGGTATTCATACCTGGTAATCTGAGCACTGAGCTTTATGGGAGCCACTGAAACTCAGAGGCTATCAACATTTATCTTTGGCTATAATTTTTTAACCGATATAGCTACAGTTTGGTGCAATTGCAGGTGCAATGTTATGGCTTCCTACACTGAGGTGTCCATCAAGATGGTAATGTCTGTGATGATGACAAGACAGCTGTAATCCTGCCTACTGGTGCTAGGTAAAGGGATGGGTGGCTTAGACACTGGCTTGGAGAGTGGAAACATGAAAATGGCATCTCCTGCCTGACTGGCATATGATTGATTTCCTGTGTTGACATCAAGAGGGCTACCAGAAGGTCACTGATGACATGTTGCTTTCCTGAGAGCTACTCCAACAGCTACATTGGCAGAGCTGGGGAAGGTAGCCTTACCTTGCAGGTACATTTCCTCTCCTTCTGTGAACATTTGGTTGCATCTGCTGCATCGTGCACAGCTCGGATGGTAATGCTTGTCACCTGCCTAAAGGAAAATAGAAAGGGAGATAAGGCACGGACACAGCATCACATTTTAATGCCTTTCACTGTTGTTCATGGTTGTGCCTTTCCTCAAGTCCCTCCAATTTTAAGTGTAGACATTGGCTTTGAAGTTGTTTCATTGCAGAATGTAGAATATGACTGAACAGAGCACAGAGGAACAGCATGCACCTCCCCACCAATACCAGTCAATTTGGACCAAGAGCGACCACTTCAAGCATTTGTTCTCAAAGCCAATTCACTCTTTGGCCTCTTTTTTAGCTAGGGTGCTAATGAAGAAAGGGTTTTGAGGCAGGTAGCCAGGACAATCAACTCATTTTATCTTACTGATTTCACAGGGCAGCAGCAAGTAATGGAGTAGCACCAACAACCTGAACTGGATTTGATCTACAGACCTCAAGTTGCTAAATACTTCAGATCCCATTAGCAAAGCCAAATCTTCCTAAGTAATTCCAGTCCATAAAATACAGTGATACTCATAACAACCTGAGCACAGGGTTCCACGCTACAATAAGGATGGGAAAGCAAGGGGACAGAAGACCAAAGGGTATAACACTTGCATTAGGTTGCTTACTAAATAATGAAGTTAGTGCTTGCAATGCTGTGATACTTATATGAGCTAAGCAATCCTAAATGTGACAGATGCCATCTCAATTGTAATCAGTGCAGGTACCATCTTGCTCAGAGCAAGTGTATGAGTGGACACTTGAGCGATACCATACGCAGCTGTCAAACCACATTACAGTCACGCTGTGTGATATGTTATGAATATCAGACAAAACAACATATTCCAGAGCCGGGTCCAATTCAAAGCCTCCATCAGCCTAACCTGCAAAAGAAGCTTAGAAACCAGAGAAGCAAAAACCAGCATGAAGAATTTCCTGAGCTGTTTAAGAGTACACTACACCCTAGGATGCTTCCATCTGTTCACAATGACAAACAGGCACACCCACACCACTCTCAGCCAGACCCTCCACGGCTATAAAAGTCACTGGAGCTGATCTTGATTCACAGCGGCTGAGGATTGAACCTGATTATTTTATAAACACTGTTTTCTGTACACACAGAAAACTGGATGGGAAAGAACCCCAAATACCCTACTAGTACTAACTAGCGCCAGCCCACCATTTTCTGAATTCAGCAAGATCTGACAAACTGGCTGGGCACCTATCAGGCTAAGGATGAAAGGTAAAACATTTGTCAATGCCAAGTGAAATGTAAAGGAGGAAGACAGGGGTTTGGGTTGTAGCTGTGTTGGTCTAAGGACATAGGCAGACAAGGTTCCTTGGGTGAATTTGATATCTTTTATTAGACCAACCAAGGAGGAAGACAGTTGTTTATTCTGAAGTTTATTCTCTGACAACTCAATTAGAAAATTCTAGCCGGAGACAACTAACAGCACACACATGGACAGAGCGGACTGAATACTGCTAAAAATAATTAGAGTTTGCTGAGTACCAATCAACCTGTAGGCTTGTTCACATGCACAATTCCCCTAGGGACTGAACCAATTTGACTGAACTGATTCACCGGATGCAAGACTGAGGGTGCACAGAACAGGTTTTCCTTGGTTTTGTTAGTCTTCTTTTCTTTCCTGTCTTCATTCTACTTTTTGCAAACAATTTTTGCTGAACTTGTTTTCATTTTTTGCTCTAACTGAAATGTCAGTTTCCCAGGGTGCCTGTACACGAGCAACAGGGATGCTCCAATGCGTTGTAACTACAGCGTGTCGGAGCAGACTCAATTAATCGAGTCTGTTGGAGCGTGGGAACTACAGCACTCCAGCAGACTCTGCCATCTCCTGTATCAGCATCCCCATGCTTAAAAATGGCAGCAGGGACACTTTACCCAAAGCTTGTTTGATGAGCTTTACACGAGACGCTGATGCACGGGACGCCCCCCCGCACTCCCGGACCACGTGTGCGAGCGCCCACAGTTCCAATCAATCTAACAGTAACAGCATCTCTCCCCCCGACAGCTATAGCTATGCTTTGAGGTGGATATTTAGATTTTTGGGCCTTTCCCCTCTCCTCCACGCATTCTCCGCCCTTTCTCCAATTTGCTGGTATTGCATTGTCCATGGATTCCCATCAGTTATAGACGCTCCATGATGTTTGGCCCAAATGTCACATTTCAAACCTTCACCTGGGCTGTCCCCGCCCCACACACCCATTGAGGTGGCAGCACAGCACCCTCTCCTTTCCGGATCAGCGCATGGGGCGCATCCAGGATTTCTGCCCCTCCCTGGGCCAAGGGGTGGCTTTGGCTGTCAGACCACTTAGCAGGAGTTTCTCTCACTATGCACTGTATGTAATGCAGGCCAAAGCAAATCCCTTGCTGATCCTCACTAGGAGTTTGGCTTAATAACTGAACACTGCAACATCAAAACTCACGCCAAATCTTTGTGGGACAAAGTGTTTGAACAACAAGAATCATGTTTTCTGTTCCACAGCACTGGCTCCCCTTTCACTTCTTTATTCCAGGTACTGACCTACTCTGAGCGTGTCTATACGAGATGTTTACTGTGGAGTAGACTAATTAGCTCTGCAGCAAATGTCTCGGTGGCTACAAATGCAGGGCTGGAGTAAACTAAAAAATCCAAAGCAGGGTAGTACTTGTAAATACAAGTACCATCCAGCTGCATAGTTTTGTTAATCTGCAGCACCGCATGTGTAGATGCTGACTGGCCTGGATGAGGCACGAGGGTGCTTCAGTGCAGGGGCTGCTTGCCAGCTAGTCCCGCACTGGAGCACCCTTGTACCCCAGCC